GTCTTATTTTTACTACCTCTGGACGTTAAACTTTTGCCTTTTTTTTTTAAAGACAAAGTTTCACTCTGTTCCCCTCAGTAGAGTGCTGTGGCATCATAACTCACAGCAACCTCCAGCTCTTAGGCTTAGGTGATTGTCTTGCCTCAGCCTCCTGAGTATCTGGGACTACAGGCACCTGCCACAATGCCTGGCTATATTTTTGTTGCAGTTTGACCGGGGCTGGGTTCAAACCTGCCACCCTCGGCATATGGGGCAGGCACCCTGCTCACTGAGCCACAGGCACCACCCTAAACTTTTGTCTTGTTTCATGCTTTATGGTATGTTTAACTGATATAATTTACTGATTGTAGTTTATTTTCCATGTTAGACTCATCTTCCCTCTTGATGCTCCCCAAAAAGCAGTGACATTTTATCTCCCAGAAAGTTATTTTTGCCAATACTAAATTACTATGTAATTTTCCTATATATGTCCTTATTTAATAGTTGTTGAATGTAAAGTTTGGAGGAGAATAGCAAGGAGATTTAAAGAAAATGTGCTTACTATAATTTCTATCACTAATTCTGAGTCTATAAATAAATAAACAAACAAATAAATAAATAAATACATAAAAGCACATTCTGTATAGTCACTCAGACCTGGCTTCAAATCTTGATTTTCTCACATACTAGCTATATAATCTGGGTCAAGTTTCTTAACCACTCTTTAATCTTGGACTTGTTGAGATAAATCTAAAGTATTTGGCACATAGTAGGGTCCCAATAAATATTATTTCCCTTTATTCCCAACTGAATTTCATGACCCAGTTCATTTGAAATACTCTTCCTTCAATAATGTTGCTATGGACTGAATTGTGCCCTCCCTGCCAAATCCATATGTTGAAGTCCTATCCAATGTGACTATATTTGTAGATAGGTCTTTAAGGAAGTAAATAAAGTTAAATAAGGTCATAGGTTGTGTTCTTCTTTTTTTTTTTTTCTGAGACAGAGTCTCCCTTTGTCGCCCCTGGTAGAATGCTCTGGCGTCATAGCTTACAGCAACCTCAAACTCCCGGGCTCAATTGATTCTCTTGACTTAGCCTCCCCCAAGTAGCTGTATTCACTGAGTTATCACCATCATATTTTTGTTTAATTTTTTTTTATTTTTGGAGACAGAGTTTCACAGCAACCTCAAACTCCTGGACTCAAATGATACTCTTGCCTCAGTTTCCCCAGTACCTGGGACTACAGGCACCCACCACTATGCCCAGCTAATTTTTATATTTTTAGTAGAGACGGTGGCGGGGTCTCACTTTTGTTAAGACGTCATCAACTCCTGAGCTCAAGTCGTACACCTGTGTGCGCCTCCCACTATGGTAGAATTACAGACATGAGCCACCTTGGCTTGCCTTTTGTTTATTTTTTTATATATTATTTCCCTTGTATTTATCATGACTTCTTTGATATCTCTACTAAGTCAAACTTCTGGGAATACTCAGTTTCAGTTCATTGAAGGTGGGTCACACATTTTTGAAAACTGGACTTTTAAAAAATTTTCCTTGCTTAGTTTTTATTTTTATTTGTTTTCTTTTTTTTTTTTTTTTTTTGAGACAGAGTCCCACCCTATGCCGTGAGCAGAGTGCAATGGAGTCATAACTCACTGCCACCTCAGACTCAGGCTGTTTCAGCCTCCTGAAGCCTCTGGAATTACAGGCACTCGTCATGTCACCCAGCTGGGTTTTTCATTTATTTAGGAGTCAAGGTCTCTTTCTCAAGCAGAGTCTCACTCTGTTGGCCAGGCTGTGAAGCCATGGACTCAGCCTAGCTCACAGAATCCTCAAACTCCTGAGTTCAAGCAATCCTCCTGCCTAAGCCTCCAAAGTAGCTGGGATTACAGGTGCCCATCACAACATCCAGCTAATTTTTCAATTTTTTTTAGTAGACATAGGGTCTCGCTCTTGCTCAGGCTGGTTGCAAACTCCTGTAAGCTCAAGTGATCCTCATGCCTCACCCTCACAGAGTGGTAGGATTATAGGCATGAGCCACAGCACCTGGCCCCAAAGTAGGCATTTTAGGTAATATATTATAGGAAATCTAGATTCTGGTAGTCCTGAAAGTTGCTTTTTGTTTGGGTTTTTAGATACTAGGCTATTTATACTGAATGTCTTAAACCATTTTATGCTACTATAACAGAAACTAATACATGAAACTGGGTAATTTAAAATGAACAAAGGCTGGGTGCAGAGGCTCATGCCTGTAATCCTAGCACTCTGGGAGGCCAAGGCAGATGGATAGCCATAGCTCAGGAGTTTGAGACCAGCCTGAGCAAGCAAGACCCTGACTCTACTAAAAACTAAAAAAACAAAAACAAAAAACTAGGCGGTTGTTGTGGCAGGTGCCTGTACTGCCAGCTACTCGGGAGGCTGAGATAAGAGGATTGCTTGAGCCCAAGAGTTTGAGCTTGCTGTGAGCTATGACAGCATGGCATTCTACCCAGGGTGACATAGTGAGACTCTGTCTCAAAAAAAAAAAAAAAAAATCTTAGTCCTCTGGGAGGCTGAGGTAAGTGGATTCCTTGAGCTCAGGAGTTCAAGACCAGCCTGAGCAAGAGTGAGAACCCATCTTTCCTAAAAATTAACAAACTAGCTGTGCATTATGGCAGCCACCTGTAGTCCCAGCTATTTGGGAGGCTGAGGCAAGAGGATCACTTCAACCCAGGTGTATGAGGTTGCTATGAGCTGTGACTTCGCAGCACTATACCCAGGACAACAGAGTGAAGCTCTGTCTCAAAAATAAATAAATAATCTCAGTGCCTGTAGCTCAAGTGGCTAAGGCACTAGCCACATACACCAGACCTGGTGGGTTCAAATCCAGCCTGGGCCTACCAGACAACAGTGGCAACTACAACCAAAAAATGGCCGGGCGTTGTAGCCTGTAGTCCCAGCTACCACTTGGGAGGCTGAAGCAAAAGAATCACTTGAACCCCAGGAGTTGGAGGTTGCTGTGATCTGTGATGCTATAGCACTCTACCCAGGGTGACAGCTTGAGGATCTGTTTCAAAGTAAGTAAATAGATAAATATAAATAAATAAAATGAGTAGAAATTTATTTCTCAACAGTTCTGGGGGCTGGGAAGTCCAAGATCAAGGGGGCTAGCATCTGGTGAGGGCCTTCTAGCTTTGTGATCCTATTATAGATGGCATCACATATCAGAAGGGAAAAGAAAGGGCAACAAAAGAGGAAAGTAGAAGCCAAAGTTCTTTTACAATGAACCCACCCCCTCAATCATGGTATTAATCCAGTCACAGTGGCATAGTTCTCATAGCCTAATCAGGTCTTAAAGTTTCCACCTGGTGGGTGGCACCTGCAGCTCAGTGGGGAGAGCGCTGGCCATGTACACCAATGCAGGTGGGTTCAAGCCGGGCCTGGGCCTGCTAGACGACAATGACCGCTGCAACAACAACAACAACAAAAAAAAGTGGGGTGTTGTGGTGGGCAGCTTGTAGACCCAGCTACTCAGGAGGCTGAAGCAAGAAAATCACTTAAGCCCAAGAGTTAGAGGTTGCTGTGAGATGTGACGCATGGCACTCTACAGAGGGCAGCAAAGTGAGACTCTGTCTCAAAAAAAGTTAGTTTCCATCTTAATAATGTTACAATGCCAATTAAATTTTAACATGAGCTTGGGAGGGGGCAAACACTCAAACCATAACTGTATCTTCTATCTCCTGTGCAGTGATAGGCACTGATATTTCTGTTCAGTGGGGATTTTTTTCTTGGTTTTATTTTTAAATCTGGTTTCCTAGGGTTGTCCTCTGTGTCTGTATAGCTTAGTGATAAGCCAAAGATTAATCAAAGATTATGTCCTCTCTGGATTTTACATTCTGCCATGCCCTCTTGAGCCTTTTTGCATGTGTCAGGCTTCATCAGCTTGGAACGTTTAGGTGCCAACGGTCCACTCAAGTCCTTGATGCATACAGTCTGGCCCACTTAGGATATGTGGAGAGCATATAAAGACCTCTCTGGCTATGTCGCCTCTGGGAAGTTCCTGTTAAATCCCTACTCTGCCAATTTATTGCTTGCTCCCAAACAAAAGACAACATCAGGCAAATAAAACTGCCTGCCATCCATATTTGCTTAGACTAAGATCACCATTATTGATGATGATATTAACCAGTGATATTCCAAACCAAGTGAGCCTTCTCTAGCAGTGGCAGCAAGGATGTTCACTTTCATGTCCTGCCCAACCTAGTTGAACTTTGGTGCCCATAGAACAGCCTAGAAGAAATGGAAGTGGACATAGACAAGAACAAGAAAAAAATCGTGCTGTTCTTACCTAAAATTCAGTGACTTTCATGAACAAACACTTCTCAGTTTGTGATGAGCCTTTAATTTTATTTCTTGAGTGAGAAATGGTTGCTTTTCAGAGATTTTTTTAAATCTGGATAATTCCTTTTTGGGGAAAAGATGTGTCAGCCTCCTTACTCCATCATGCTGATGTAAAGTTCCACCTTTTAATTTTGTGTCTCAAAAAATATCCTGAGACCAGGCTTCGTAGCTCACGCCTGTAATCCTAGTACTCTTTGAACTTATGAGTTTGAGACCAGCCTGAGCCAGAGCTAGACCCCATCTCTAAAAATAGTCGAGCAGTGTGGCAGGCGCCTATAGTCCCAGCTACTCAGGAGGCTGAGGAAAGAGAATCACTGGAGCCCAAGAGTTTGAGGTTGCTGTGAGTTGTGATGCCACTCTACTGAGGGCAACAAAGTGAGACTCTGTCTCAAAAAAAAAAAAAAATCCTGAGTATTCCTTCTGGAGTCTGAGAAGTAATTGTATCTGGTTTCCAGGGTTGGATGTTTCAGAATTCCAAGATTAATAGTTACTTTTCGACCTCTAGAAAAGTGACAACCGTGAATGAGAAAGATGTTTCTCAAATCATGGAGAATCAGGGCTTACTGTCTATACCTGTATTTTGAAGCTGTTTCAACATTATTTTATAACTGATTTAGTATATTTTTCTTTTTATTCCAGATTTCAGTTAAGTTCCTATGTCTTCTCCTGAAATTGCTTCCCTTTCATGGGGGCAAATGAAAGTACAAGGTTCTACTACAACCTATAAGGACTGCAAAGTATGGCCAGGGGGCAGTCGGGCTTGGGATTGGAGAGAAACAGGAACTGAGGTAAGATTTAGTCTTTAGTTAACACTACATAAGTCTGACCAAGTGATTTCCAACCCCATAAACCATAATGACCCAATGAAAAATAGTTACTTTTTTCTCTTTTTTTGAAATATAATTTACGGCTCGGCACCTGTGGCTCAATCGGCTAAGGCGCCAGCCACATACACCTAAGGTGGCGGGTTCGAATCCCCAGCCCAGGCCGCCAAACAACAATGATGGCTGCAACCAAAAAATGGCCGGCGCTGTGGCGGGCGCCTGTAGTCCCAGCTACTTGGGAGGCTGAGGCAGGAGACTCGCTTGAGCCCAGGAGTTGGAGGTTGCTGTGAGCTGTGAGGCCATGGCACTCTACCCAGGGGGATAGCTTGAGGCTCCGTCTCAAAAAAAAGAAAAAGAAATATAACTTACATAACATTAAATTTACCTTCCTTGGTAAATTTAGTCTCACTCTGTCACCTTGTGTAGAGTACTGTGGTGTCATCATAGGTCACAGGAACCTCAAACTCTTGGGCTTAGATGATCCTCTTGCCTCAGTCTCCCAAGTAGTTGGGACTATAGATTCCTGTCATGACAACCAGCTAGTTTCTATTGGGGTCTTTCTCTTGCTCAGGTTGGTCTCAAACTTCTGACTTCATCCAATCCATGCCTCTGCCTCTGAGAGTACTAGGATTACAGGCATGAGCCACCGAGCCCAGCCTTAAATTCATCCTTTTAAAGTATGTAGTTGAATGAACTTTTTTTTTAAGAGATGATATCTCCAACTGTTACCCCCAGGGCCAGTCTCAAACTCCTATCCTGAAACAATCCCCCCAGCTCAGCCTCCCAAGTAGCTGGGACTACAGGCACAAGCCATGGTGTCTTGCTATTTTTTTTTTTTTAAGAGACAGTCTTGCTATGTTGCCCAGGCTGGTCTTGAACTCCTGACCTCAAGTGATAGTCCCACTTTAGCATCCCAAATATCAATGGACTTTTTATATTCATAAGCTTGTATAACAGTTACCAGTGTTTATTCCAGAATATATTATCATCCCAAGAAGAAACACCAGAACCAGTACCCATTCCTCCTCCCAACTACCTTCAACTCTTGGCAATGAGTAATCTACTTTCCATTGCTATTGATGTAGATATGCTTATTCTGGATGTTTTGTGTAAATAAAATATTTCAGTTCTCTTGAGCATATTTCTACTAGTGGTTTCTGGAGTATAACCAGTAACTCTATGTTTAACCATTTGAGAGACTATCTTCTAAAGCTACTGCATTATTTTACATTTTCATCAGGAATATCTAAGGGTGCCAATTTTTCCACATCCTTCCTCACCAACACATTATTATTATTATTGTTATTTAGCGACAGAGTCTCACTTTGTCACCCTCAGTAGAGTGCTGTAATGTCACAGCTCACAGCAACCTCCAGCTCTTGGGCTTAGGCGATTCTCTTGCCTCCGCCTCCTGAATAGCTGGGACTATGGGTGCCCATCACAGCACCTGGCTATTTTTTTTGGTCACAGTTTGGCTGGGGCTGGGTTCAAACCCGCAACCTTCGGTATATGGGGCCAGTGCCCTACTCTGTGACCCATAGACACCGCCCCAACATTATTTTTTTCATTGTTCTGTTTTTTGGGTTTTTTTAAGTCAGAGCCTCAAGCTGTTGCCCTGGGTAGAGTGCCATGGTGACATAGCTCACAGCAACCTCCAACTCCTGGGCTTAACAGATTCTCTTGCTTCAGCCTCCCAAGTAGCTGGGACTACAGGCACCCGCCACAACACCCGGCTATTTTTTGATTGTTTGTCATTGTTGTTTGGCAGGCTTGGGCTGGATTCAAACCTGCCAGCTCTGGTGTATGTGGCTAGCTCCTTAGCCACTTGAGCTACAGGTGCTAAGCCTCATTGTTCTGCTTTGTTTTGTTGAGACGGAGTTTCATTTTGTTGCCTCTGGTAGAGTGCTGAATCATAGCTCACAGCATCTTCAAACTCTTGGGCTCAAGAGCTCCTCCTGCTTCACAGCCTCCTGAGTAGCTGGGACTACAGGCACCCACCACGACACCCAGCTAGTTTTACTCTTTCTGGTAGAGACAGGGTCTCGCTCTTGCTCAGGCTGGTCTCAAACTCCTGAGCTTAAGCAGTCCACCCACCTCCTCCTCCTAGAGTGTTAAGATTATATGCATAAGCCACCACGTCCCGGCCCTATTTTGTTTTTATTGTAACCATCCTCTTGGGTGTGACATGTTATTCTCATGTGATTGATTTGCATTTCCCTATTATTGCATTTCCTCCAGTGTTCTCAGTGTGCCATGCCCAGGGTGGACCCTCCCTTCCATGAGTGGAGGTTGGACAAAAGAAGGAAGCTACTATTTTTCTACCATATTCACCTTGGATTTAGCCTCAACAACAGAAAGCTGGGGGCAGAATGAGGAACACTAATTCTCTGCTCCTCCTAGGAAGAAAGCTTTCTAGCTGTATGCTGAAGGAAGAAGGAGCCTTGTGTTCCTAGCTACAGCAATCTGAAGTGGAGTCCATGCCTCACAATTGAGAGGGGAGAGGGAGATAGCAACTTTGGTTTAGATACCACAGATTCTCACCTGTCTTACCCAATGTCTCAGTCGGTTCGGGCTGCTGTAACAAAGTATCATAGACTGGGTACCTTAAATCATACAGAATTACTTCTCACAGTTCTAGAGGCTGAAAAAAATCTGAGATCAGGATGCCAACATGTTAGTTCTGGGGAGTATCCTCTTCCAGTTTGCATACAGCCAACTTCTTGTATCATCACATGGTGCCGAAAGAGCTAGTTAGTTCTCTAGCTTCTTACAAGGTCACTAATGCCATTCATGAAGGCTCCACCTTCGTTAGTTAGTTACCTTCCATAGTCTCCACCTCTGAATACCATCACATTGGGATTATGAGGTTAATGTATGAATTTTGTAGAGATACATTCACTCCATTGTAGCAAATTTTTTTTTTTTTTTTTTTGAGACAGAGCCTCAAGCTGTCCCCCTGGGTAGAGTGCCGTGGCATTACAGCTCACAGCAACCTCCAACTCCTGGGCTCCAGCGAGTCTCCTGCCTCCGCCTCCCAAGTAGCTGGGACCACAGGGGCCCACCACAACGCCCAGCTATTTTTTGGTTGCAGCCATCATTGTTGTTTTGGCGGTCCGAGCTGGGGATTTGAACCCGCCACCTTAGGTGTACGTGGCTGGCGCCTTAGCCGGTTGAGCTATCGGCGCCGAGCCGCAAATTTTTACAGATTTTCTTGAATACATGTTTCTTTATTTTCTATTTCTTCTTAGGACCATTTCTAGAGGCCTTGCTAGTTTTTCGTTGTTGCTTTTGTGGGCTTTGGTGTTTGGCTTTCCTTTGTTGTTGTTTTTAATAATTTTCACTTAGGAGTGGGTCAGTGGAGCTCCTGGTGATATAATGGTGGAAATAGATTCTTCATTTTTGAAGGATCATTTTATTAGATATAGAATTTTTTTTTTCATTCAACACTTCCATCCACTCCCTTTTGGCCTCATTGGTTTCTAAGTTTATATCAATTCTTATTGTGATTAAAGGCCACTTAGATTTGCTGAGTCACTTCTTTCTAGCTACTTTCAAAACTCTTTTCAGTACTTTGACTATAATATGTCTAGGTGTGGATGTCTTTCAGTTTATCATATTTGGAGTTTATTAAGCTTCATGGACATGTAGATTGTTTTTTTTTTTCATAACATTTGGGAAGTTTTAGCAATTGTTTCTTCAAATATTCTTTTCTCTTTTCTGCGAGTTCCATTATGAATAAATATATTGATATACATTTAGAGTGAACTAAAATAAAATCTTTTTTTTTTTGAAGACACAGAAACTCACTTCATCACCCTGGGTAGAGCACCCTGGCATCATAGCTCACAGCATCCTCAAACTCTTGGGTTCAAGGGATCCTTTTGCTTCAGTCTACCAATGAGACTACATGAGTTTGCCACAATAGTTATTTTTAAAGATAGGATCTTGCTCTGGCTCAGGCTGGTCTTGAACTCCTAAGCTCAGGCAATCCATCTGCCTCAGCCTTCTGGAGTGCTAGGATTATAGACTTTAAAATATAATCTTTTTTTTTTTTTTTTTTTAGTAGAGACAGGGTCTTACTCTTGCTCAGGCTGGTCTCAAACTCCCAAGCTCAAGCAATCCACCTGCCTCAGCCTTCTGGGGTGCTAGGATTATAGGCATGAGCCACCACGCCAGTCCCCATTTTTGCTTTTTAATAATTATTCATCAAAGCAAGATTTGGCAATGTCAGCTGATTTATTTTATAACTGAGTCAAAATCTTAACCTATATCAGTGAGTCAGACTAAAATATGATAAAATCATTGTAACTATGCACCATGATGCTTCTTAGGATTTTCTTATACAAAATATCCATTGTTAACAATATGCATGCTCAAGTGATTATAATGCAATCCTTTAATTGTCATTGATTCTTTACTTATTTACCGAAAGCATGTCTTTAAGTATAGACTTAAAGGTCCTGGTGACAGGACATCTAAGCGCCTGGTAGTGTGAAGACCAGAGAAAGCATGATCCAAATCCTTGCTCCTGTAGTGGGGTCGGTGGATGCATGGACTCGATGTCACTTGAGAGTTTATTGGAAAGATAGGATTTGCGGGTGGCACTTGTGGCTCAAAGGAATAGGGTGCCAGCCCCATATGCCGGAGGTGGTCGGTTCAAACCCAGCCCCAGCCAAAAACTGCAAAAAAAAAAAAAAAAAAAAAAGATAGGATTTGGTGCCAGTCTAAACCTGCCAAATCCAATCTGCATTTTAACAAGCTGCCCCAGGAGATTCCTCGCACATTCAAATTTGCATTATATTTATCTAAGTTGGTGGTTTCCAAAGTATTTGGAGCATGTAACCTAACAGTAAAAAAATTGGGCATAGGCTCGGCGCCTATAGCTCAACTGGCTAAGGCGCCAGCCACGTACACCTAAGGTGGCGGGTTCGAATCCCCAGCCTGGACCCGCCAAACAACAATGA